GCGAAGCCACTGCCCTCAGCTTGCCCGGAGATGGGCGGGGCTGAGTTGCGCAGCGACGCCGCGGGGGTTCCCCAGCGGCCTGGGTTTGCATAAAGAGTTGAAGAAACAAAAGAAAAACAACCCCAAAACCGCGGTACAAGCCGCCTTCAAACACTGTGTCTGAACTATGGCAACCCCGGCGCTTGGAAAACTGACCTGGAGTAAAGACGGGATGCTGCCAAATCCCTCTAGATGAACTTTAGTTGGAAACAGAGTGCCACACAAACCTGTTTTGCATCCTGGACTGAATAGACAGGTTACCTACGCGGCACCGCGCAAGGAAGCAGCGGTATTTAAGAGCATAAAGTGACACTTCAACAGCTGCTCGGGGATTCTGCACTTCCACAGTGTTTACTGAAGCTCTCATTGGAAATCTGTCATTTCGTCTTACGGATTCAGCATTTAAGTCATTAATATAATTTGCAAGAGATGCTGAGATGTGGAGTCTTCACCTGTACTTACATTGTCTTTGAGCAAGCAAAGCGGTGATATTTTTAATTCTCACTGTTATGGGATTGCCAAGAATGCATTTTCTTTCCTGTCACTGCAGCTTAAATTCACAGCAGCACAAAAAAGGCCAGATCTTCCCTCCAGCACCAAGGCAGCCCTCCAACCAACAGCCTATTATGGAAGAGCAGCGGCTGCCTCTCACTCGCTGCTCCTTTGTGATTTGCAAACTCCAAATCCTGGTGTACTTCCAGAATTACGCTCACCTTCTATAAACAAGAAGTACCATGAGCAGCAGAAGTCACTAAGTCTGATTTCTGTCTCGTGCTTGAATTTCCTTGTGTTTAATGAGGCAGAAATTCCAGCTGAGGCTTTTTTAACGTTTTTCTGTTTGTATTCTCTGGCGTTTTAGTAAAGGATGAACAGTTACTAACAGGCCTTTATGGTCTAACCATGGTCACCCTCCCCAGGCCTGCTCCAGACCCTGGCCGTGGGCCAACATCCCAGCCCGACCGGATCACGGGGACGAGTCTCTGCGGATCAAGGTTTAAATATTGTCACTCTTAAGGCGCATTAACCGCTAAGAAGCAGAATCCCCCCATTTCGAGCCCATTTCTCCGGGCGCAGTCCCGCAGTCACCGCGCTGAAGCAACGCGGCTGCACACGGCCCCGCCCCATTGCCAAGACTCCGCGGCGGAGGGCGGGGCCTCGGCGCCACGGCAACGGGGCTGGCGCGAAGCCGGGGCATCACGTGGGTCCCGTGGTACGCGCCCACGCCCCTTCTCTCCCTCCCCTGCGGCGCCGAGGTAACGCGGTCCTTGAACCTTCCCGCTACCCGTAGGCGGGTGACGCTGCCCCGCCCACCTTTTGCTGATTGGCCGGAGGGAAGAGAGAGGCGGGGTCTTCGCCGCGCAGGCGCAGTGGGGTGCGCAGCCCAGTCAGGAGGAGGCGGCAGCGGCGG